CTTGGGGCTGACCTCCCCTTTGCAACTGTGGCAAAAGAAGCGGTGTTGGGAGACGGCGGCCGCCGCGGCTGCCGAAGAGGCCTCCGCCATCCTCCGCTCCGCCCCGCCGGTCCTCCCCGGGCTGGAAACCGAAACAGCACCGCTCGGCCGATGCCGGCCACAGACTGCGCCTACTCGAGGCCTAGAGCGGCAAGCAGCGAGCCGGGTGAACTCTCTAGCCGCGCCACTTCCGCGCCACTCGCTTGACTCCGCCCCCGTCGACCCGAGAGGGGGCAGCAGAGGCCGGAAATCGGCTTCAAGACAAGAGACACTTCCGGCGGGGCGCCGTTGCCGTGGTTGCCGAAGGGCGGGCTTGAGGCCTACGTCGGGAAGCGTGCAGTTAAAAAGAAACGAAAAAGAAGGTGGGGGGGAATCTCTTTCACGTGCAAGGTGGGGGTCTGTGCCCGAGAAGAGGAAGAAACTGAGGAGAAGGTGAATAAAGGAAAGGCTGCGTAGGGCTGGAAGAGCGGCGGGGAAGGGCAGGCCTCCCCTTCCAGTGGGAGGGCTGGGAGTCAGGGGATCTCTGGGTCGCATTTCTGACAGATGGAGGGAAGGGAGGAGAAAGCATTACGCATTCTCTTCGCTATTATTTTTGTATTCTTGCTATTATATTGTTAGATTATAGATCGTCATCAAGAGTTCACTCCCACTGGGTCAGTGTGGATTTTTTGTTTTGGTTCATTCGTTACAAACCTATCCACCCTCCACCCCACCCCCGCTTATCTAAACACTCAAGGTGACTTACAAAAATAAAGAAAAGGCAAACCATAAAAGCCCAACAGAAAAATGATGGATATATTATGGCCATTGTTATATTACCAATGTTATTTTATGTAGTGCAGTATAATATAATAGACAGATCCTTTTACTGTACTCTTTCCTTCTTGGCCAGTGTGCCTGAGCGGCCTGCACATTCTCCCTTCTTTCCCTTATTCCCATTGTCCTCTCTCAAATTTTGCCGCCTTGGGACAAGTTATACCATACACAGTCTTTGTATGCCATTGGCATATATCCGTGTTGTTTTCACACATTGCAGCCAGTGCCCATCTCACCATAAGGTCTGGGCTTGGTGTGACCTGAGAGGCCCTGGCCCAAAGCCCACTGCAAGGTAGGTTTGGCCTTTTATGGGAGCGAACTGAAACAGGTAATGTATTGTCGAAGGCTACCTGAAACAGGTAAGTTTTTCCTCCGTCCCTGAAGCAAAAATCAGAGGAAGTATTAGCCCAGGATTCTACTGAATGGTTGGACCAGTTTTCAGTTAGACTCTGAATGTGTAAATCTTTCTCTTTTCAGATGCAGAACTGATGACTTACACTGAATGGTGGAGTCTTGATTCTCATTTTGGGCACTGAAATCCTCACTGGAGCTATTTGCTGATTTGGGGTGGCTCATACATTTCATTGCAGACCATTACATACCCACATAATTGTCCAGGAGAATGACCCAGGCCGAAATCAAGCTTTCTTCTCTTCTGCTCTGTGAACATTTTGGTGAAATTGTGGAAAAGGTTGGAACACAGCTCATCCGTATGGGGGGACAGACGTTATGGATGATTGCCCACAACACAGGCATGTCGCTTGACCAGGTAGATTGATTTTTTTTGTGTGTGTGTGTAACAGGCTAACCTAAACTAAGAGATTAACTAGGTATCCCTGGATCCCACTGATGTTCTCACTCACACTCATTAACAGTTCAATCCTGAGTGAAATTAAGGACGTCCAAGTTGCCTGAAAAGTTGGTTTAGGAGAACCGTGCAGACAGTTCACAGATTTCAGCAAGCCGTTCTTTTCTGAGCCATTCAGTATAGGATTAACTATGTTCTACTTTACAAGGCTATTGTAAGGTTTTGGAAATGAAGGTGTTTGCAGTTCTGAGGGGAAAGGGGCCTTTGAAATCTTGCTGTTGTTGGCAAAGAGTTGGTCTGCAAATCTGGAGAGAAGTATATATAAGTTTCATTTCCTCTGCTTTTATGCAGGTCCGGAAGGCTCTCTGTGTCCTCATCCAACACAACTTGGTGATGTTCCAGCAGCAGAAGCGAGGCCTGGTAGAGTATGAAGCCCAACGTAGCCGAGTACTGCGGATCCTCCGCTATCCCCGCTATATTTATACAGCCAAGACTCTCTACAGTGACACAGGTGAACTGATTGTGGAGGAGTTGCTACTCAATGGTAAAATGACAATGAGTGCTGTGGTGAAGAAGGTGGCTGACCGACTGACAGAGACAATGGAAGGTGAGCAGATCTGGTGGGCTTCTGCGTTGGGAAAATGCTGCTTGAAAGACCAGTTTGAAAAGTTTGTTTGTGTCTTTGTCCACAGATGGTAAAACAATGGATTACAGTGAAGTCTCCACCACCTTTACGTGCCTGGCAGACACACATTTTGTTCAGAGATGCCCTTTACCTCCTGAAGGTTCTGAGTCTACAGAGACTCTGCCTTCTCCTGCACCCACATTGGTCTGTAATGAGAAGGACATGTATGCTGTTCCAAAGCTGAACCTCATAGGTGAGGAGCTAAATAGCTTAGACAGTGTGTCTATTGAATTAAACCTATGAGTGGATTAGCAAGGTACAGCTGGGATTTGGCAGGGTCCCAAAAGCATTTTAGAAGCAATGGGAATAGAAAGAAACCAATAGTTTGCAACTAGTTTGAGGGAAAGAATGAAATGATGTGTGTGGTTTGTTTTTTTGCCTTTTATTTGGAGATATGTCATCTAAGTTTTATTAATCTTATACCTACTGTGTCCCTCACACAAAGAACCCCATAAATATCATTGTGAGGCTGTATTGGCCTAATTCCTCTGGTTCTCAATTCCTGTGTTTTCTAAGATGAAAACATGACTGTATCTTACCAGTCAAAGCAGCTTATAGGAATTTGACCTGAGAGAAACAGATGGCAGATCAAGCCTACAGCATTCCTGGGCAGGGATGGGGGGAGAGAATACACATTTGTTGGTGCTGCTGAAAGAAACACGTTTTCTCTTTTGGCCAACAGGAAAGGGAAAGCGGAAGCATTCAGACAACACCAAGGAAGACGGTGAACGAGCAGGAAAGCGCTCAAAGAAAGACACAGAAAGCAAAGAGGTAGCATGGACACTGCTTCCAGGATAACTTTAAGATGAGAGAAAACTGGATGGTAGAACTTAGATGCCAGAATAGGAGCTGGGTAGATCAGATTCTAGTGGGAGATAGGATGAGGGAAACTTACTATAAAGCCAAGTGTTGCCTTAATTCAAAGGAGTTATATCACTTGAAGATAAGAATGTCTTTGAGCAGTTACTTTCTTTTGTTATGGGTTCCATCACCTGTTCCCTGATTAAATCTTGAGAGTCGTAGACCAGCATAAACCTGGTGAAAGCAAAAGGGCCAGTTCCGTATTCCCCTGGACATGGGAAAGGTTCATACAAGGCTAAAACTAACCTCTGCATAACAACTTCAACAGTTCTTTGCCAGGCAAATCAAGAGTATATCATTCAAAAAGCCAGGTTTCTTGTAAACTTGCTCACTACGCATAATATATGCAAATTGGCAAATTAGAGCTTGTGGAGTTCTTGGGGTTCTCTGAACTTGGTTGTTTTATTCAGTGCACTGAAGATGTTACCCAGCCAGGTAACGAAACGTTTGCAAGAAAACAACCAAGCTCAAAGAACCTCAAGGAGTCCACAGTTCAACCCTGAGCTACACATATTCGCTTATAGGTTAGAGTTTGCATCAAAACGTTTAGATTGGGGCGAGATGGGATAGGCTCTCATCCTCAGCCTGCAGATACACATACCTGCTTTCCCACCCCACTCCGGCCCATTTCAGCCTCCTCCAGACAGTGGAATCTACTGGCAAGTCAACATTGACCGTTTCCACCAGCACTTTCGGGATCAAGCGATTGTCAGTGCTGTGGCCAACAGAATGGACCAGGTGGGTAATACCTCCCTCAAATACCTCCTGGTCATTGGTGCTGAAGATTGGTTGCTTTTCTTTGGCATTTCATGATTGTCTGCCTAACTGTTGTCTTTTCTTACAAGAAAGGGCCCAGCTTTTTCCCTGGCAAGTTTTTTTTTTCTTGGGAGGAAGGAGGAGAATCAGTCACATGTGCCTTTGCCTCCACTGTGATGTGTAGTAGACCAGAAACAAGGGCATGGCCTCTGTTACAACTCCTAACTTTTCTTCTGTCTCCAACAGACCAGTAGTGAAATTGTCCGGACAATGTTGCGAATGAGTGAAGTCACAACCTCTTCTAATGCCCCCTACACCCAGCCACTCTCTTCCAATGAGGTGAGTCACCGTTTGAACTTCAGTAGTGAGTTTAATTTTGTGGCCAGAGGAGGTAGGTTTTGGCAAAATGCCAGAATATAAAAGCCATGCCACTAATCCTCAGTAATCAGATAGATGCAGTTCTTGTTCACATTGGAGGTCACAGACTCCTGGCCAAACAAGAAGCATTTTTGGTAAAGCCATGCTGCTGGAGTGGCCCTAATGCAAGTGCTGGAGCAGCCTGAAAGTTTAGCAGAGTTGTCCTGGTATGCAAATGAGCTGAGGTTTTAGTAAGCAGACAGAGGAATTCTTATCAAACAGTTTTTGCTTTGTGCAAACATACCTTTGGGATGGTTTTTAAAATCTGAACATCCCATGTCAGAGACCAAGATCCATGGGAACACACCTCTACTTCTGGATGCATGAAGAGAGTTTTGGAAGTTGCTCATGCAACTTTTTCATTTCTACATTCAACATGTGATATACCACTTTTGAAGTAAGGATGGATCCTTTGTGATGTAAAGTATCCCGTTGAAAGAGAAGAAACTCAAAAAAACTTTCAACATGGTTCTGCAGAAATATTCTCAGCTGTTGCCAGTTTTCTGCTTATATTTAATAGCGTTTTAAAATATCTCTCAATAGTCATGAAATTTATAACACGTTTTCTTTTCTTTCTTTTTTAAGATATTCCGATTACTTCCGACTGGTTACAACATCTCCAAGCAGATTCTTGATCAGTACCTAACCTTACTGGCAGATGACCCTGTAAGAAAAATTTATATATTTATTTATATTTATTTATTCATTTATTCTATTTCTATGGCCACCCATCTCAGACAAATGACTCTGGGCGGCGAACAATCATGATATGGTTGTACAATCATGTACAAACACCATACAAAAATAAATATATAACAGCCAAGAAGAATTATAACCATAGATATCAATATAACCAGGAAACAGGACCCTTAAT